GTTAGTTAGTTGCTGGCTGGAAGCATGGAGGAGACAGCCTAGGGAAAGGGGCTGGAGTTTAGGGGCCCAGTCTCCCCCATCTCAAGGGGGCCTGAGGCATCCTAGCCCAGCTCTGTGACCAGATTCCATCTGTGCTGTGCTGTATCCTGGAGAGGCAATAAACTTCCTCTATTCCACTGGCTGGTGCAGTCTGTTTGTGCCATTTCGGGGTGCAGGAGACGGACTGAATCATGAATGAAAAGTAACTTGCTCATATGACAAGCTCCATTTTTGGAGGTACTTTCGCCCAGTGAGAACAAAGGAATCCCCTCCATATGGGCAAGGGTATAAGGGGACCCGAGAAGTTCCTCCATCTTTCTTGTCTTCATTTCAGCTCATCACTTAAGGAGCATCTTTGGTATGAATTGAACCCAAAAGGACTCATGACCCATCCTAACAAAGGATGTATTCCAGAGGTGATTAAGATAGCAGTTTATACCATCTCTGCTTCAAGCCTACACCAGGAACATTCTAGTTGGCGTATTTAATTTGTTGCCTTTAACAATTTTTCTCTCAAAATTTCTTTCATTATTAATAAACCTCTCAATTTTAGATTCTAAAGGATTTGCACAGTGTGATCTTTTGCATAAGACCTAGGTATAAATTGACCTGGAAATGTGGCTAGTCCTTTGGGATCTGGAGAACCTGTTTGGACTTGGTGAGATTGGTTTTCATAACCTCTCACTGTGTAAGATGTGGTACTGGTTGTGAAATAGCAGAAACTGATGTGTCTAAGGGGATTGCTTGTGTGTTGTCTTGCTGGGTAGTGTGGCAAATAGGAGTGTTCTTTGTGACTGGTTTGGTGTGCTTTATAGTGAAGGAACCCCAGACGTGGACTGTAAATAGCCATCTTTAAGCAAATCATCCTAATTTGACCCTCTCAACTGTTATATTACAATATGATGTCTCTCTTTGGGTTCTCCAAAGTGATAGAATGTGTGATACTAATTAAATATTTTTCTGCTTGATCTACAGCTTCTACCTTTCTCTCCTGACAGCAGTTCAAGGATTCAGCTCCAACTGAACCTTTGCCCACGGAATAGTGATAGGGGTTCTGTCATGGTGAACTGTCTGATGTGCAGTAGGGTAAGAATTCACTGAAGTTTTTCTCACAGTCAGAGCAGTAGAAGGGTTTCTCTCCTGTGTGGATACTCCAATGTCCAACAAGGTCTGAGCTCTCACTGTATAACTGTTCTGACTGAGAAAAGCTTCAAAGTGTTCCATCTAATTTTTTCCTCACAGTTACCGAATGAATTTTGTTAGAGGCACCAATATCCAGGGGATATGACACACATCATTGTCATATCTGTGGTGCACACAGAAGAAAGTTCAGGTGGTAGAAGTGGGGCTGGGTCCCATGGGCTTAGATTGTGGGAAGGCGTCTCAGGGCTGGGACAGAGTTGGGGAGCAGGGGCATGAGGACTGCCCCTGGGGTGGGGCTGGGGATGAAGGGTTCATGGCTAAGACAGAGTTTTGAACTGTGCAGGGGTGAGGGCCTGAGTAGGGGGTGTGATCTCTCGGGTGTGCCAAAAATAAAGAGGTTCAAGGGGCAAGCCATCAAAGGACTACATTGCGGAGAGAAGATTCCCACCAGCTTTCCCTCCCCCAGATCAGATGATGCTGTGAGGCGGGGCAGAGAAGAGAGGAACCTCTCCCTGACATGGCAGCTTTGGGGCTGTTTAGCCCTTGCAGGTCTGGGACAGAGCTGAGACCAGTGGGTAGAGGCATCTTTCTCCACCAGAGGCCTAAGCACTTACTAAGCATTTATTAGGCTGCAGCAAGGCTGTATAACCACACAGCTTAAAGGGCACTTAGATCATAGGGTTTCTGTCCTGTGTGGAGTCTCCTATATCTAAAAAAGTCTGAGCTCTGACTGAACCTTTTCCTGCATGCAGTCAGAGGAGTTATAGGATTGCATTAACAAGAATGTTGTGAAATAGACATGAGAAGTAATTCTTCTGCTCAACTCTGTACTGATTAGGCTTGATTAGAGTACTGTGCCCAGTTCTGGGCATCAGATTTCAAGAAAGATGTGAAGAAATTAGAGAGGATCCAAAGAAGAGCAACAAAAATGATTAAAGGTCTAAAAAATATGTCCCATGAGGGAAGACTGAAAGAACTGGGCTTGTTTAGTTTGGAAAAGAGAACACCAAGAGGGGACATGATAGCAGTTTCCAAGTATCTAAAGGGGTGTTACAAGGAGGAGGGGGAAATATTTTCCCCTTGACCTCTCATGATAGTAGAAGCAGCACTAGGTTTAAACTGCACCATGGGAGATGTAGGTTGGATATTGGGAAAAATCTTCCTGTAAGGGTAGTTAAACACTGAAATAAATTGCCTAGGAAGTCTGTGGAATCTCTATCATTGGGGACATCAAAGAGCAAATTAGATAGGCATCTATCAGGGATGGTAGATGGTGCTTGGACCTGCCGTGAGGGCAGGGGACTGGACTTGGTGATTTCTTGAAGTGCCTTCCAGTTCTAGTGTTCTATGATTGGATTTCATAATTCTATGTTTCTCTTTTTGGATTGTATGATGATTGTTAAGACTTGAGCCCTGACTCAAGCTTTTCCCAGTCAGAGCAATCAAAGGGTTTCTCCCTTGTGTGGATTCTCCTATGTGTAACAAGATTTGAGCTCCTACTGAAGCTCTTCCCACAGTCAGAGCAGTAAAAAGGTTTTTCTCCTGTGTGAATTCTCCCATGTCCAACAAGGAGTGAGCTCGTACTGAAGCTTTTCCCACAGTCAGAGCAGCTGAAAGGTTTCTCTCCTGTATGGATTCTCTCATGATTAATAAGATGTGAGCGCCTATTGAAGCTTTTCCCACAGTCAGAGCAGTAAAAAGGTTTTTCTCCTGTGTGAATTCTCCCATGTCCAACAAGGAGTGAGCTCGTACTGAAGCTTTTCCCACAGTCAGAGCAGCTGAAGGGTTTCTCCCCAGTGTGGATTTTCCTATGTCTAAAAAGTTCTGAACAGTCACTGAAGCCTTTCCCACAGTCAGAGCAACTGAAAGGTTTTTCTTTTATATGGATTCTCTTATGCCTAATGAGACTTGAGTGCTCACTGAAGCTTTTCCCACAGTCAGAGCAGCTGAAGGGTTTCTCTCCTGTATGGCTTCTCTCATGAATAATAAGATGTGAGCTCCTACTGAAGCTTTTCCCGCAGTCAGAGCAGTAAAAAGGTTTCTCCCCTGTATGGATTCTGCTATGTTTAATCAGGTCTGTGCTCCTACTAAAGCTTTTCCCACAGTCACAGCAGTTGAAGGGCTTTGCTCCTGTGTGAGATCTCTCATGAATAAAAAGACTTGAGCGCCTACTGAAGTTTTTCCCACAAACAGAGCAGCTGAAGGGTTTCTCTCCTGTATGGCTTCTCTCATGAATAATAAGATGTGAGCTCCTACTGAAGCTTTTCCCACAGTCAGAGCAGTAAAAAGGTTTCTCCCCTGTATGGATTCTGCTATGTCTAACAAGGTCTGACCTCTGACTGAAGCTTTTCCCACAGCTGGAGCAGCTGAAGGGTTTCTCTCCTGTGTGGATTCTGCTATGTCTAACAAGGTCTGACCTCTTACTGAAGCTTCTCCCACAGTCAGAACAGAAAAAGGGTTTCTCTCTTGTGTGGATTCTATGATGTCTAACAAGGTCTGACTTCTGAATGAATTTTTTCCCACAGTCTGAGCAGCTGAAGGGTTTCTCCCCTGTGTGGATTCTCTTATGACAAATAAGACTTGAACGCCTACTGAAGTTTTTCCCACAGTCAGAGCAGCTAAAGGATCGCTGTCTTTTGTGGATTTTATGATGTTTAATTAGGTCTGAGCTTTGACTGAAGCATTTCCCACAGTCAGAGCAGTTGAAAAGTTTCTCTCCCGTGTAAGTTCTTTGAGGTTCAATTAGCGTTCCCCAGTCACTGTAAGTGTAGGGTGTTTGTTGATAGGAGATATTCTGTTGAATGGTTTCTGTGTTTCCTTTCACCCTTCTTCTCCTGTGATTGGATTTACCCTGTTTTTTCTCTGGATGGTATCCCTGTTGCCTTTCTGTGCTATGCTGACTCCCACAGTTCTCTCTCTGCTTAGGACTCTGGAAAACATGCCCTTTGTATCTTTCCAATAACATCCCACGTGGAGCCACTTGCTGCAATCCTTCCTGTTGAAGAGTCTCCTCGTTGTTCTCATTGAGTGTCCCATTCCCTGCTGGGATAGAGAAAAAATTGAGGAATCATTCTCTGTGCTGAGCTGAAAGGAAAACTTTGAAATAGAAAAGGGGGAAATAATGGCTGGAACGGTTGAATATTCATGAACTGAGTTTATCCTCCTCTCTCATAACGTTTTCCCAAAGGACAGACACCAGCCTTTTCCCCACACTGTCAAACTGGAGTTGAAGACAAGCTGAAGGATCAGTGAGATGTGATGAAAATGCACAAGTGACACCTGCTATGAGGAGACAGAAATTGGTTTCTGAGTCAGTTCAGCTGATTGCTCACCTGAGTGGGTATCACTGATTCTCTCCCCTTCCTCACAGCCCTGAAGATCTGGGATCTAGAGTTCCTCCCCTTGCTCCACCCAAGAGACCAAATTAGCCTGGCATACCTGAAATCCTACTCCGGGAGCAATTAACCAAGTACTGATCTTTTTCATTAAGGTCTTTCCCATTACCACTTCCAGAGTCAGGATCTAAGTCAACCACCCAGAGAGGCTCCTTCCCCACCTTGCAGAGACTGGGCTCTGGCTGGTAAAAGATCCCAGCACACTCACCTGCAGTAAAAGTGCATCTCCCGGCATCAGGAATGGCCCAGCTGATTCCCTGGGGGAGGTGAGCGCTCTGCTGCACAGTGTCACCCACGAACACATCCACTACAAGACACATACACACTAAGTGTCACACACACTGTGGTGACATTTTAAAAATATGTATTAAATCTAATGGGCTTTTTGTTTCTACTAGTGGTGGAGAAGAATCAGTGCACACAACAACATATCTCTCACACGTGGATGGAAAAAACAGAAGAGGGAACCCTGCCATCCACGTGTCAGAGAGCTATAAAAGGCTAGTGAAACAACTCCATTTGGCCTTTTCCCTACTCTGATCTCCAGAATATGGACATATCCTAATGAGATCATTGTAATCGCAGGCCAGAGGACTGGTCAATCTTTTGGAAGCAACCAGACATGTAAAAAGCCAGCATTTTATTTCATCACTGGTTCAAAACTGATCCAAGAATGTTGCAGTGTGTGTATGTATTTGATTGCTTTCCCCAATGTAACTTTCATCTCTCTCTCTTCTCTTACCAATAAACCTTTAGACAGCAGATAGGAAAGAACTGGCAAATGTGTGTGATTTTGGGTTAAGATCCGAGTATGTGGCTGGTCCTTTGGCATTAGGAGAGTCCTTTGGCTAATGAAAATGGTTTTAAATCACTACTACTCATTAACTCCAGTGTCTGGGTATTGAAACAAGGCCTGCAATATTAAGGAGGCTGCATTTCTAACTTCTGGTTATCCAGTGTGATGAGGAAGAAGTTTGTTTGTTGCTACCTGCGTACTTCTTATGGGAGAAGCACCACGGGCTCGTCTACATTGGCCCCTTTTCCGGAAGGGCCATGGTAATTTTTGAGATCGTAATAGGGAAATCCGCGGGGGGATTTAAATACCCCCCGCCGCATTTAAATAAAAATGTCCGCCGCTTTTTTCCGGCTTTTAGAAAAGCCGGAAAAGAGCGTCTACACTGGCCAGATCCTCCGGAAAAAAGCCCTTTTCCAGAGGATCTCTTATTCCTACTTTGAAGTAGGAATAAGAG